TTGAGGTGTACCCTCACCTCAGCCGATTAATAATGACTGATTTCACATATTGAAGTGATAAAGCGGATTGTATTAAATTTCCTTTTTCCTAAAGTTTCTACAAATTTTGTATTTATCGAATCGAAACTTATAATGAAATTGCCAACGTTCAAAATCAAATCTTGTGTATGGCCAGCTTTGTATGATGCTTTTTTTGTTTAAAACACTAACGCCCGAATACTGAAATACTTATTTACTTTGAGTTAAAAGTACTATATGTGCCATCTTTATCATTTTTTTTTTACAAAGAATTAGGTACTTGCCAACTAGTCAAATTTAATACTTTTTTTGAACTAAATTATTATGTTTTCGGCTTACTCACTTAATAATTTGACGAGGAACTCGACTAATTTCAAGCCATGCTAGAAGCTCATATTCATGAGCAGCATTTCGCGACCCGCGACACGGTGACTGTCGCGCTGCTACTAGCTACTCGAGTTTTTGAACTGTCAAAAACTCGAGTAGCTAGTTAGTAGGCTGTTTTCTATGACTTTTGTACGACATTGTATATTGTGACGTCACGTTTTTATAGCGTCAAACAGCATACTTATTGCTTAAAAATTTTCCGGAAAAATACTAAAATTAAGTTGGTTATAAAATCAATTAATGAAAGTGTGATTATTTTTTAATATTTGATTGTATTGAACAGTCGAAATAATTTGTTTTTGATTAAGGCAAGTACCCATTTGAATGGTCGTCCATTAATATTAAGAAGCAGTTTCTTAAATTTTTACTCCATAAAAAATGTAATTGCATATTTCTTTTTCAGAAGAATAAGGCATTCTACACATATTTCTCTAAAAGGTCGGCAACACAACTGTCACTTCTCTGGTGTTCCGATGACCATGGGCGGCGCTGTTTGCTTACCATAAGGTGATCCGTCTGCTCGTTTGCATCGTATTCCATATGAATTAGCAAATAAAATCTAGTAATTATATTACTAGATTTTTTATTATATAAAGCATGGTTAACATAATATTTCTACACCAGCAATGGTAGTGTATTTGAAACAATATTTAATGTAAAACCTCAATGTACGATATACGTGGAAATAAATGACATTTTATTCTATTGTAAACTGTCAAACACCAAGCGGTCACCGGTGACCACAACCTATTGTTTTATAATTGTGTCTATAATGATAGTACTCGACGAGTTAAATCTATAGCGACACTTTAATCGATTATAAAGTATAATAGAAAGAAACTGTAAAATATCCACGAGCTACCATGTAACAAGTACAGAATAGCCCTTTGATTTCCAATAAGGATGTTACAATATAATGCTCCGTTAAGCGCATTAACTTAAAAGCGTTTCTAATCTATTTATGATCCATCAAATTAATTCCGAATAGTGGCACGTATTTCATTACTTTGAACTGTTTAATTTCCGCCAATCGTTAGTTTCAGCCGTAAATAACCAAATAATCGACAAAATTGCGAAACTGACCTGAATTAATTACGAATTGTTATAAAAAACAAAGCGAATGTAGAATATATTAATAAATTTTCTCAATTAAAGTAAATTTAATATAGGTACTTATTTGAGCTGAGTACTATGAATATGTTTCAGATGCGAAAACCAGCTTCGGCTCGACCGATGTGATACCATAAACGGTATAAATCTTACAAACCAGTGTGCAACAATATTTGTGTAGTTTCTGCCATGTGAATAAGGTTTCTCCCCTATTTAAGTGATGTACTCGGTTTTTATGCATCTTTGGGATGACCCAAAAATAAGACATGAGGTCATGCCTTAATTTAAATTAACTTATTCGCATATATCTTGATCATTTGAAATAGATAGCCATAATAAAAATCTTATTCAGACCACATATTACTGTTTGGCGCCTGAACTCAAAATAAAAAGGGTACAACAAAGACCTGAAACCATATTGTGCCAGTAATACACAAGTCTTTGCCAAAGGGTTGTTAGACCTGCAAAATATTATATTATTAGAAACTATAAATCGTTACCAATAACCTCGGCGACTACTTCGCAATTTGTCGATGTGATGCCGTAGAACTGATGTCATCTGTAGTGCTTTTCAATTTAACTGTCATATTACAGATAATACAGAATTACTGTAACTTAAAATCAGTAATAACAAAATTTATTACAAGTTACCAAATTATCGTGAAACATACTGAATTAACTAAAAACGGGTCACATAACTCACGTAAATGTCACTCACAAAAGCCAAAACCTCTACTAGTTTCGAGTCATAGAGGAGTTCTCATGAGCAACGTGCGCAGTCGCGGCGATGTCAGGCAGCCTAGACACAACGCACGCACGCGCTCCTTCAAATTAGTGAAATCAGTAACAATGTCCTATAATCATCTATGAATAATTAAAAATGATGTTTTTAGTTTGCTTGCATGGAGTATTCATTTATTCATAAATACTCTAAAATCATTATACGTGTCCTTTATTTAATGTCTAAATGTGAATAACAATAAATAACAGTGAATTACTTCTGCATCAATATGATACATCCTGTATCACAGTCCTGTACCAGACTTCAATACATCGCGATCGCCTAGGTATTATGTGCCGTGCACAATCAGTCTCTATTGTGAAAACATTGATTCTTCTCGGCGTTACAGCTTTCATATATATACTTACTAATATTATATAGCTGAAGAACTGCTCCTTATTCGAACTCCTTAATCTCCGGACACACTCGTTCTAATGACTGCACGGTTAGTGCGGTGGCTGGGCAACCGGCTGCCGTGCAACGTGTTCCGGGTTCGATTCCCGCACGGAACAACACTTTGTGTGATCCACTAATTGTTGTTTCGGGTCTGGGTGTCATGTGTATGTGAACTTATATGTTTGTAAACGCACCCACGACACAGGAGATAATCCTAGTGTGGGGCTTTTTTTAAATAAAATAAATTAAATAATTGTTTTAAACTGTCAAACACCAAGCGGTCACCTCTGACCGCAACCTATTGTTCTATAATTGTGTCTATAATGACGGTACTCGACGAGTTAAATAGTGTTGGATAGTTCGTTCATTGGGAAAGACTATTGGTTAAAAACATCGTGGTACGATCAGTAGGAACCAAGTAGTGGATGAAACCACGCGAGTGTAGGATATTCTGAATCCTGAGGGTGTGGTTACTACCACGCCCTCAAGCATCTACCCTACTAGGTAGATGACTAATTTTTATATTAATGTCATGGTAGTTTATTTAAAATCATTACACACGTATTTTTAATTTTCTTATGGACACAGATACTTTCGACGATATATTGATTTGAAATATCGCGTGACGTCACTTTGTGTACGTTTTATACTCAAAAGTGACGTAGTTAGTAGCTCCTACTCCTAAACTTGGATTCTTTTTATTTAAGTATTGTTTTCTTATAGGACAAAATAAAAAAATACATGTTTAATATTTAATCATTATCTAACTGTCGGACTAATTAGACTGTTAATTTTCATACCTAGTCGTCATCCCTGTTGCTGTCGAATATATGCTTTTTCTTTCTTCTTCTTTCCATTACGAGTTCGTTGCGGCGTTTCTCTGATTGGTTGTTTTTTTATAGATAAGACGGTAAGTAAGCGGACAGATCACTTGATGGTAAGCAATTAGCGCCGGACACCAGAAACAACAAAGGCGTTACATGTGGTTTACCAGCTTTTAAGGGATTAGGAAATTGAGGTTCAATGGAACCGGCCAATCAGAATGTCGAACACGGTCTCATTATCGCATTGAACGTAAAACAAACTCGTACTAAGCCTTCATCATCATCATCATCATTATCATCATCATTAACAGTCGGAAGACGTCCACTGCTGGACAAAGGCCTCCCCCTTAGTCCTCCACTTTGAAGTCTTCAGACATTTTCTATTTACGATTTTCAAAAATATCATGCGCTACTCAGAAAGATTAGGTAACCGGAACTAATTAGAAAATTGCACGTTGATATTAAAAGTAATATAAATATTACTTTCACAAACAATCACCTTGTCCATTGGTATGTCTGTATGTCTGTATGTCTATTTACCGTAAATAATTCTTTTCTAAACTGCGTTTAAAAAAACCAATTACAACCCCCTCCTTTTTTAAAGTCGGTTAATTAACAAAGGCCGGTAACGCACTTGTAACGCCTCTGGTGTTCCAGGTGTTCATGGGCGACGCCGATTGCTTACTATCAGGTGATCCGACTGCTCGATTACCGGCTTATGCCATAAAAAAAACATAGTAAAACCTTTTCTGCTAAGTGAGACAAACACTTTTCTGAAAATAGCATCAAAATCGGTTCAGCCTATCGCGAGATAATGGCGCGCATATATACATACTTGTTAAACTGTAAACCTACTTTTTTAGAAGTCGTTTAAATTCAATAAAATGTTTAATATTTAGAGAATTGATCGCTGACCGTGAAATTGTGAAGTAGCTAACGATTTATAGGACTTTTATGTCTACATTCGATATGCGATTCTTAAATAAAGTTCTCACTAAAAACACAGCATGAATCAAGGACATAACATAACATAACATCACGCCTTTTATCCCCGAAGGGGTAGGCAGAGGTGCACACAGAAGTAACACCCACTTTTCACTATTTATGTTATGAGTCCCATGTAATAGGGGGTGAGCCTATAGCCATATACCGGGCACAGTTCTAGACTCCGTGCTACAACTTAGATTTTTTTTTAAACCCATTTAACTTTGCCCGACCCGGGAATCGAACCCGAGACCCCTTGCCCGGCAGTCGCATTTGCGACCACTCGGCCAACGAGGCAGTCAAGTCAGTTCAGAGTTAATCAAGGACAGTAAAGTCGAATAAAAATGGAAACACAACGACTTCCACTATTTTAAGATTAAATAAGTTTTATATCAAATAGTATCTACATAAATCGATTATTTGTTAAATTGATTACTACATGTATGTTTAATAGTGTAGCTGTCACAAGGCACCGCGACATGAACAGTCGTTGCTAGAAGTTAGCAATATGGCGGACTCCTGGCTCTTCACTTGTGTATTGGTTATAATTTGTTTCAGCCTGCCAACCTTTTCCGAAGGAAATAAATGTGATTTTTATAAAGGTATTAAGTAATTCAATACTTTATACTATTATAATATTATGTAGTTATATATTAGACTATTATAATATAGTATAAAACATTCAGTTAACAAACATAACATTATCCTGTTAAGTTCGTAAGTACATATAAGTATAACTAATTATTATCAACATTATTACATATTTTTTTATCATATTTTGTGTATCAATTTCTGGTAATTTCTGCCAAATAACTTAATTGGCTTAGGTAATAATATCTATTCAGAATAGTCGAAATTGTGAATTATTTTTTGATAGATTATTGAACCGGGGTTCGTTTAATATCATCAATTAATTTTAGGTCGTTACAAAGCCAAGCTAGTTCCAGATGTTAAATGGCCATTAATGCTACGAAAAGGACAGTCATCATTTAAAATTGATATACCAATGACTTGGGTAAATAATAATATATTGATTTGATTTTATTAAGGTGCGGGCTCACCGGGAGCGTTCGCGTGTAATGTAACGTTACAGGTCTGGGCATTACATCATAGAAGGAGGAGAACCGAAACCGAGCATTACAATGCGCACCTTGTAATGATACAATAACTATATAATATCTTGATACAACTTGTAACATCAATGTCTGACATCTTGCTATGAAATGCTCAAAGTCGAATCTATAATGTTACATTACACGTGTATGCTCCCAGTGAGGGAGCACCTTTAGAATAATTAAGTGTTCTGGGCCAGCCGCAATCTCATAATACAAAAGTACCTGGTAAAATCGGACAGTTCTTACAAGTTGTATTCCATGACTGGTTGGCGCAGTGGCTGGGCAACTGGCTCCCTCGCAACGTGTCGCGGGTTCGATTCCCGCACGGACCAACTCTTTGTGTGATCCATAGATTGTTGTTCTGTTGTCTGGGTATCATGTATGTGAACTTGTATGTTTGTAAACGCACCCACGACGCAGGAAAAAATCCTAGAGGGGCAACGTTTCTTTTTCAAAAACATAATATTAAGTAAATAATGTCTAACTGCACACTTCAATAAATCCTTGTCCCAAAGTAGATATACGGAGTCGCGGAGAACCTAATGGGTTACCGGGGCTCCGGCCCGAAGTGCAGCAGTAGGAACGTAGTGGTTTTTAGTACAACTTTTTGGAAGTCCGCGTAAGAAGTAATAGACTGTCATAAAGATCATAAGTATTTCATAATAATAGAACTGAGAATAAACTCGAACTTCGAGCCTGAGCCCCGGTAACCCATTAGGTTCCTGCGGCTCCGGCTCGAAGTACAGGAGTAGGAACGGAGTGGTTTTTAGTCAATAAGAGTCTGACACTCTCTCCCGCCTCACCCAGGCGGGAGAAGTCAGTCATACGATGAATTACCCATTTAAAAATTTTAGATATGGATTAATTTTTCATATTAGTTGTCTTAATTAAGTATAACATAGGTTATTTAAATTGTCAGTAAATAGAGCCTGTGAAACCAGAGGCTTTAGTACAAGTTTGTTTTACATTTAAAGTAATCGAAACGAGATTGCGGTCGGCGCTCTGATTGGCCGGCTCCAATTAACCAACCAATCGGAGCAACGTACTCATTTCGATTACTTTACACGTAAAACAAACTTGTACTAAGGCCTCAGTTGTAAGTATTTATAAGATAAGTTACTATTTATTTGGTAGTTTTTCACATCAGCCTGTTCTACCACCTCTCGACCAGGGGGCTTACTCTTGAATCCAATTCGGATCGGTCGACATTGGTATTTTGAAATTTCGTACTCTTGAGTTGCAACACTAGCGCCCATTCCGTATTGCGTGGATATCGAATGAACTAAATGGTATTGAGTTTGGCGTTATAGTCCGTACTCTAAATGCTATTCGAACAGCTACGATTGTGGTTGTACCTATAGTATTGACATTGAATAATTATTGAGATTTTATTGGATTGAAATTACATTGAGATTGGTTTAATGAGTAAGCGCCCAGAACAGAGTGTGACAAGGTTGAACATGAAGTATTCTTTATTGTTTTTGAAGCATTAAATGATGCCAGTAATCAAATTAACACCAACAAGACTTGAAAGAAGACGTATTCTTAGCAAGTAATCCTTATACTTCTGTTTCAGCATTTAGTTCGAGCAACTAGAGGTAAAAATCTTAGGATATCGTTTGTTTGTGTCCAAATAGGAGATGGTAAGAACACTAAGAAGGAAATAAAGAAGGTTTCTATAAATATATTATTGTCCGGTATATCTGCGCGAGCTATTATCAAACTCAAGAAGCCAATGATACAAAATAGGAGATTGACTATACAACTTTTTGGAAAGCCGCGTAAGAAGTAATAGACTGTTATAGCTCGAATAACAATCACTTCAATGTACGTCATAAAAAATCATAAGTATATATTTCATAATAATAGAACTGAGAATAAACTAGAAGGAGCATTTTTTTTAAATAACTGTGTTGCCATTTCCTACCCCGTTTTCTCACCTAAGACCTAATGGTATGTTAGTATTATGCAGTATAGAGAAACAGTGATGCAAGCGTGACTCACTGCATACAAATTTGTTGACTATAAAAACAAAAACTGCGTTTAAAAAAACCGACTTCGAAAACCAAAACCTAAAAACAAGGAAAAGGTAAAAACTAAAATGCAAAAAATAACTATTATGAGTCATATGTACTTATAGGTTACCCACCAACTGATAGGCGAGAAGTCGGTGCCATCATTTTTAAACAAAAGTTATTCTTTAAACCCGTGACTAATACCTTATATTACCTAAGCTGTGTACCTACAATTTTATGACAGATTATAACCATGACCATTAACCGAAGTTATATTTTGTTGTGGGCTTGTGGCACGGACTTCTTACCTATCATTGGGTGGGTAACCTATAAGTACGTATGACAAATAATAGGTAGTTATATTTTGCTTTTTAGTTTTGACCTTTTGCTTGTTTTTAGCTTTTGGTTTTCGAAGTCGGTTTTTCTAAACGCAGTTTTTGTTTTTATTTTATGCTTTTTACTTTAATCAAGGCTATATAGACCCAGTATACTACCTATCTCCCACATGGGTGTAAAATTCTCATCAAAACAAATTATTCAAGCCCAAAAACCAGGTAAACGGTTAATAGTAGCTATTAATCATTTATGAGTACTGTTACGGGGTGGGTCTCAGTAGGCTTTTTAAAAAAAATACTTTTAATAGAACTGGAAAAATATTTAATTAATAAAAAGGTTTACAAAAGCCTATTATCCGCGACGACGTTCAAATCCACACTGATGTACTAAGGTATAATTTCTAAGTTATTGCAAAATGCTGAGTCAATGGAAAAATGTAAAATAAGTACACGTAATGCAGTGGAACACACGTGTTGCAGCGTCAGCTGTTTATTATTGTATTCTTATTAATGTTATTTAATATATAACAGCCCCCCGGATAAAATGGAGCATCTGGGAGAAAAAGATGCGAAATTGATATAAAATTTATGAGATGAACATCGTTTCAGATTTACAAACTATAGTCAAAGAATACTACTATAATAGGTAATATTAATGAGATAGAACAAAAATTGAAATAGAAGAACAAAAATTAAACATATCATCTTAACACAAATTGATTATTTCAAATTAATATTAGGTGTTTTAATAATAAGAACAAAGAAATTAAAAAGTTTAAGTTTAAATTCTAATTCACCTTAGATACTAAAAGATTACGCTTAATTGGGGCTGGCCTTGACACTGATGCATAAATCTCATCGGCCACGCCGTTTTCGTTTAAGACGGATAATTCAACAGTAGGTTGGCGAGTTTCGGTAACTCTCTTAGTATTACATTGGTTAAATATCTGTATACAACAATGATCTTTCGAATTTGGACAAAAATATCTTCTGATTCTATAAAGTAGATATATAAAGAATGCAATGAAAAGTACATAAGATAGAGACATGTAGTGAATGCCATATTTTTGAAAGTGATTAGGATTTTCAAGGCTATCTAAATCCTTTTCGAATGAATCTAAATGCAAGCTAGCCTGTAACAGAGAATCCAGATTATTTGCGTCATTTAACTTTAAGTAAGGTAATCTGGTAAGTGTTTTGTTGACTCTACTTCTATCACAACAATCATCGTCTACTAGATTAAAGTTTGAGATAATCTGTGAACTTACATTGAGAATGGCGTTCGATTGTGGCACAAATTGCAAAGTTTTATAGAACGCTTTACAGGTTTTAGGTATAGATAGTATGCCAGTGCCGAACAAGGTTTCATCGAAATTATTTCCATCATTCTCACAAGAGATATGACACTTCCCTGGCTCAGACAGAACAAAAATCCAATTGTTGTTATTCATTTTGTGGAATACTTGTACTGAGCCTTTTAGTAGCTTAATTTCACAAGAGCTAGGTAACTTACTTACTACTTCAGTAATTAAGATAGTCTCACATATTGGGTTAACGACACTCGAAAAAACACTTTCCAATTCACACACATGAAATTTACCCGGAATCACTTTGCACTGATTTACACTACGCAACAATGAATAGAACATATGATCGGTTGTTATTGCTAGGTAAGGATGAGCGGGAGCGATAAGTGCAAACGTGTCAGGTTGCGATACATCATAAGGGACAGGCATTGGGATCACGCGATACAAGGCATACGTTTGTGGAAGGACGAGCGGGATTTTAATGACAATAATTATTTTGTTATTATGAAAATAAGAAATGATTTTAGAAATGTCAATTAGTTCATGGATGTTTTGTAACGATAGGGATACCGGGAGTTCGTAATGCCTTGGCATATTATTCCTATTTTGCTCAAGTTCGTTATATAATTGGTGTGGACTAAGTATAGTCGGATGCAATACGTTAATCTTGCTGAATAAAATCGCATTATTAATGTCTTCTATGTCAAATGATAATGAAATGATAATACTGTCAAGAGCACTTAATAGTGAATTAATATTTGACTTGATTTCTAATTTATCATTAGAGTTGGAAATAACTTGAAGTCCTTTATTGATGACCTCAAGATTTTTATTTAGACGTATTTCGTTCTCGTTTAGTTTAGAGATAGAATTATTGAACGTAGTAATAGTTGATTTAATGACATGGATATTATCTCTCATTAAATGAGCTAATTGTTTTTCATCCATTTGTACTTGGTCGATTGCATCAGAAAATTTCAGAGCATCATCTGCGTCAAGAGTACCGAAAAACGTTTTTAGTAAAGATCCACCAGCGTCTATGAGGCCACGTTTGTACCTTTTATTACTATTAACCAAGTACGAGACAGAGGAATACTTTTTAACGTTGTTATTGTGTTGACTTTGTAAAGCTGATAATGCGTTTATACACTCTTCTTGAATTTTAGAAGAGCTATAATCTTTGCAATATGTGTTGACTCTAGAAAATAGCGATTCTACAATTGTAAGGTGAGAATGTATTCTACTAATATCTAGATAAGTTAAGACGTTCCAGTTATCGTTAGTGAATTTTAAATTGCCAATTTTATCGAAATACAGTCCTGCACTTGTAGTTATAGGCGTAACGATCTGATGACACGAAGTTGATGAACCAAAGTGCCTGCAATGATAAAATTAAATTATGTCATCGTCTAACGCCAGCTTTATTTCGTCATAATGATGACGCACGTGTTTACGATTTATTAATAAGGTGACAGTGTGATTACCGTTTACTTTGACTATTTTAAAAGGGCCTTTCCACACGGGGGATAAGGCTTTATTTTGCTTGTGGTGACACCTGAGATAGACTGAGTCACCGACGTTATACGTAACAGGCTTGGCATGAGAGTCGTAGACACGTTTAGATCTTTCTTTAGATAATTGAATGTTTTGTAGTGCTTTTTGCCTACTATAATAAAGTCTGTGATTTAGTATTCGGACGTAGTCAGTGTAAGTGTTATTTTCTAAAGTGTCTATAGATTTAGGGATATGTGGCTTGAAACCGAGTAGCAATTCGAATGGCGAATAATTGGTAGTCGAATGAACATTTGAATTGTAAGAAAACATAGCTGTATTGAGGTATAAGTCCCAAGTATGGGCATTTTCGTTCACGAATGGCCTTAAGTATTCCTTAAGGGTAGCATGACTCCTCTCTAGGGCGCCACAAGTTTGCGGATGATGAGACGAAGCTAGGATGTGTTTTATACCGAATAATTTTGTAAGTTGCTTAATGACCTCGGAGGTAAAATTAGTGCCCTGGTCAGTGACGATCATTTTAGGAATTCCGAGATGAGATATAAAGTGAACTAATTTTTTAGCGGTCTCATCCGATGAGCAGGTTAATAAGGGGTAGGCTTGCGAGTATTTTGTAAGATCATCCTGAATGGTAAGAATAAATTTGTATTTAAATTCATACGTCTCTGGCAGAGGACCAACGATGTCAAGGAATATTTTTTCGAGCGGTTTTGTTGCGGTGGAAGTAATAATCATAGGTGCACGATGAAGTTGGCGAAGGGGTTTGTTAATCTGGCAGGATTTGCAGTTTTTGACATAATCTTCGACGTCCTGTCGCATATTTTTCCACCAGTACATGGACTTTATCCTTTCAAACATACGTGTTATGCCAGGGTGACCAGCTGTCGGTAGGTCATGATTGTCATGAAGTATCTTTTTGACTTCCTCAGGTGTGGGGAATAGAATGGAGTTTCTATAGATATTTACTTTAATACCAGTATTATGAAATACATAGCCTATTATATTGTAGATTTTAGTATAAGAAAGTTTGGTGAATGGGTCGGAGAAGTCTGAAATTGCAAGTTCCTTCTCCTCTAAGTACCAATATTTAACCATATCTCTATATTCGACTAATAGTCTAAATATATCCTTATACGACATTTCATCATAGTGATGAACACGCATGAATAGATGGGTGAATAAATGTTTATCATTAGAAGTACTGTATAAGGTATAAAGTTCACGTTCAATGTCACGAACGCTAGGTTGGCTTGTAGATAAGTCTATAATGTCCTTGCAATAAGGGACAGAGTCATCCAAATCGATTGAGGTAGGATATGCAATTAATTTGCATTTCGCCTTTAACAATGATTCGTTATATTCTTGAATAGTAGTATCGAAACAAAAGTTAGGTTGTTTAGATTGTTTTAGATATTTCTCATAAGTATCTGACGAGCATGGCGAGGGATTGTCGAGGGGTGAGCTTGGGGAATGCGACTCCGGAGGATTCGGGATATTTGAGTTCGGTGACTCATCCTCGATAGCGTATACTGGGCGATTTAAATTATTATCAGGGTCTTGTTGTAATGGGAAGCGCGACAAAGCGTCTGCGTTGCAATTTAATTTGCCTTGCTTATGGACTATCTCGTAATTGTACTCTTCTAATTTTAGGCGCCAACGTATTAGTCTAGAGCCGGGGTCCTTGACGTTGAATAGCCAAACTAAGGGCTTGTGGTCGG